GTAATACTAAGCAATAGTAAAAAAAAATAATTAAATTCTGTAACAGACTTTTTTTTACTATAGAAAGCATATTAATCCCAAAGCAGATAACTTTAACTATATACTATTAAGGTGTTCAATAAACTAATTGATTAAAACATAGTTAGGGTCATTAAGTTTAGATTTTTTAAGGAGTTATTTCATATATAAATTTATATACACAACTCATAAACAAAATTGTATTATATATTTTTTTTAAACTGTAGCTCTAGACAAGCTCTATACTAAAATAGAACTGGTTTTTTAATAATTTTTAATAAAATTTTGGTTTAATTTTTATTAATAATTAACATCAGTTATTAAAAAACTGGTTCTATTTCAGTATAGAGCTAGTCTAGAACTATAGTTAAAAAAAAAATGATATAATTTTGTTATAGAAAAATATATCTAAATTAATACAAATTCATATATAAATCATATATGAAATAACCCTTTAAAAAATCTAAACTTAATAACTCTAACTATATTTTAATCAATTAGTTTATTGAATACCCTAACATCTGTATTCTTGAAATAATGAGTAAGCTTTGCAACATTATTTTTTACAGTATATAACTACTGTAAACTAATTTACCTTTATCACTTTTTGTAAATTACTAGAATATGAGTAAGAGAATTTTTAATAGTAACTTTTGATAAAAGTTATATTGATCCTGTTGCAAACTAATCTATATACAGTGTATTACTAGAATAATAAGCAAGTTTTGTAATAGAATTTTTTATTGTAACTTATAATAAAACTCATGAGAATTCTATTATACCTTTAACCACACACACTATATATTACTAGAATAGAGAGTAAGTTTTGTACTAAATTTTTCAGTACTTAGGCTACATATTTCAATCCAGGCTCAAAAATATTAGACACTTTTATGAAATTAGTACTAGTATAGTACTATTGTGCCTAGTATAGACACTTGCAAATGTTTACTTTGTACCTTCGTGAACATAATACAAAGATACTAGTCTAAAATTGGCTAGCACTTTTTGCTTATAGGCACTAATATAGCACAAGGCACTGGTGTCTGGCATAGTGCTTCATATACCAGCATAGACATTTGCAAAACTTTAAAAAAAAGATATAGTATACTTAAATTTATAACTGGATATATTTGCTAATCATCCAAATATATCAGTTAAAATTTTATACTCAGATATATCTGCTGATTACTCAGATTATCTGACAAGTAAACCCACAAATACCTGAGTAGCAATTTTTTCTACGAGTACAATTTTTAATCTAGATTAATCTGTAACTCTGGTTATACCATCTAGTAATAGAAGCTTTAGTACAATAAATTCAAAGAACTAGAATAACTGAAAATCTATTTGGCAAGTTCTAAGCTTGGAGGTAGCAATAATTTTTAATGATACTACTAGAAGGCTGAATTTGAACTAGGGCCCAAAATTAGAGAAGTGAGTAATTAGATTCTTAAATGGAGGACATACTAGCTGAACTGCCAGATTAACACACTAGAAAAAAAGAGCATACACTCTGAAAGTATAAACCAAGGGAAGGGCAACTGTGAGGTACCTAAAGCCTGGGCAGACTGACTCTTCTGGGTTGCTAGCTAGAAGTAAGAGAGGAACCAATAAGGAATCCGGGAAGAAGATAGTCTAAATGTGGGTATTAGAATTGTTGTAAACTGAATAATAGCAAATAAGTATATAATGGATGCCTAATTAAGAAGATTGGTACTTGAGAAATGTCTGTAGAATGGCAGCACCCCAAAAGATAGTATGAAATATGTATACAAAATGGCAGATTAATATATACTAATTAGAAAGAAGTTATAAGAACATGTATATAAATACATATATAAGATATATACTGCTCTGTTAGGTTTATCTTGAGGATAAACTAGCTTAAGTTGGTAAGTTCTAAAGTAGGATGCAAAATCTATATGAGTTATACCAAAATCTACTTCTGAATAGTGAAAAAACCCTGGATTAGAAGGATGTTGATAGTAGTTAAAACCAGATGGTTTAAATAGATAACTTCTATAGTTGGGTACAGATATGGCAAATAGTGTAAAACTTTAATATAGCACTAATACTTTGGGTAAGCTACTCAAATTAGACACCAAAAGTGCACATGTGGCTTGATGTACCATTGTTGTAATTACATTATAAAACACTGGCTAAAACATTCTCCAAATCAAAAAAATTACCTTAACACCAAAAAAAAAAAACCCCCACTATTTAAATTTTTTTTATATAATATCAAAATTATTAATATTACCTTATATATTGTCAAATAAAAAAAATAATGAATTTTATATGGTACTGTAGCAATATTATACTATCAAATATCTAACTATTTAAAACTATTAAATTTTTAAAATTTATACATATATTGTAAATACATAAAAAGTTAAATTAATTTAAAATTAAATTAAAAATTAAATTTTAAATATAGTTATTATATTTCAATTTAAGTAAATTTTAAATAAAATCATCGCTTTTAGGTTTTTAGATTTAGAGTGCAGTTTGAGACAAAGAGAGTAGTTTGGTATAGTAGTTCAAATTTTAATTAAGATTAGGTTTTCAGGAGTGCTAAACACTTTTACTTAGAGTTGTGTAACTTATTGTAAGTTATTTTTAAAATGTAAGTTAAATTTCAAGTCATCTATAATAATATCCTTTAATAACCTTAATGCTAGCTAAATTTATTCTGGCCGGCCTGCTTTACTATGATATATTTTTTAAGGCCATATAACTTACGATGTAAGTTACAATGTAAGTTATATTGTCAGGTAAGCCCTACTTTTACTTAGAATACCTGAGCTTAAATATTTAGTACATTTTTGAGATATAGCATCTCGGTGATTTTGTAAAAAAAACTTGTTTGTCTCGATAACTATGCTTCCGGGTTAAGATTAGCAATTACAGTATCTTAATTTTAATATATGTATAAATATTTTCTATACGTATAAGAGAATTTCTAATTTTAGCCGGAGTAAAATCACCGAGATGCTACATATATCTCAAAAATGTACTAAATAATAAAGATCAGGTTTTAAAGTAAAAATATTCAGCACTCCTGAAAACCTAACCTTAATTAAATATTATATCTAACCATTCTCTGTCTTAAACTACACCATATCCCTAAAAACATGAGGGCCTCCGGTTAAATGTAATCTATATAAATATTTTTTTTAAAAAAATTAATTTTATTATCTAAACTTTATTATCAAAACTTTATTATCATATAGTACTAGTTGTAAAATAAATAAATAAATAAATAAAATAAACTAGTTAATCAAAATTTATGGTTATCTGCTATATCTAAATAAATTTTTGAATCTGGTTCGAAACTCTATCAATAAAGCAATTTTAAATTTGGCCAGCATTAAGAAATTAAATACCCCGTGTCATCAATTTCCCACACGATAGGTTATGTCTCTTTAACATCATGACAAAACTTCTAGCATTTAAAAATAAATAAATAATTAATTAATTTTTTTTTTATTGAAGAAAATGTCTATTTTCATAAATTTTGCGAAGAACACGTTTTCGATTCTCTGAAATAAGAGAATCATCAATGGTTCTTTGATCAAGAATATAAAATTTTCTGTCCAAGGTAGTGTTGAATGTAGTACAGATTCGTCGTAACCTTTCCATTTGTTCAGGGTTGATATTTGTAACATATATACACCAAACATTTGGCGGTAAGTGAGCTTCAATTCCGTTCTTGAAGTTTGTCAAATATTCTTCCTGATGATCATTGTCTCTGTCAGTTTTATAACGAATCACGAATTCAAAATTTCTATCAATAAAATCAAAGCCACAATAGTTAAGAGGAAGAGATCTGTTAGATAACTCGTAGGAATGTCTAACTTTTAAAAGTTTAATTTCTGCATCTAAAGCCTTAATAAAATTGATTTATTGATAGAGTTTCGAACCAGATTCAAAAATTTATTTAGATATAGCAGATAACCATAAATTTTGATT